ATATTTTCTTGGAGACAGTCTCTTCTAAAACAACAATAACACTAACTAACAAAATTAAGATACAATGTGGGGGTATTTGGCAGAAGTTAGAAAAAGGAATTTGAAATGAATATGGCATGATACTTTATATGAAATTATATTACAACAAATTAATATTATGCAATTTAATAAATCTTTTAAAAAAGACTTAAGCCTTATTAAATTGTCCTTTCCTACAATATTGAGAAAAAGTAAATTTGCTTTGATATTTTACATTAAACATTAATAATTTTATTTATAATTCTCAATATATATTCACAGACGCTATGTCTACTATCACATTGCTACACAAAGTCATTTTGTTTTAGAGCTAGCCCAAGTAGGGTTGTGTACCCTACTAACATTTCTGCTTGTATTCCATAGCTTTCTTCGATTTTTATGGGATTAACATTAATTTTTCTGTAACATGCAGTTTTAGTAAATACTCACAAATGTTCATATATCAATTCAGTCTTTCATACTGTATAATTACCACAGATGGCTTTTGTTGTGCTGCATAATAATATATGTTCTATGCCTCAGTGACTCATGAGCTTATGGTGTAGTCACATTGCAATGGTATTTAAAGGCAGTGAGAAATTTACAAGGTAGGACTGTGGCATGTGCAAAGGTCATTATAATCTTTTAATAGTACAAAGACACATGGAAGGGGATATTTCTGTATCTCATATTGTATGAAAGCAGATTTTTGTAAAAGAAGGATCTTTACCACCCTCCAATTTCTTTCCTTTGTCCTGTGACACACTCCCCATCATATGATATTGCTGAAGGTGTGTACTTCATAAAGATGACAAGTTGTTGTTATCTTATAGGTTTAGATGCCCAAGGAGACAGTGACAGGAGCTTCCAAATTTAACTATAAAATTATGGACTATAATAGGGGAAGTATCAATTTTTATTTGAGTATTACACAGCTCAGTATATCAGAACCCAAGACATACTAATGTATTAGTATCGAAGTTTAAAATATTTTGGCTACTTTTTCTCAAACTATAGATAACTGAAAATTGCTTGAATCATTCATGCAAAAAGTAAATTTCAAATTATATGACAAGTTAATATCTGTTTAATGTGTACAAAATCCCTGACTGTGCTGTTTATAAATTTTTCAGTACAGTGAAAAAGGAATACTAAGGCATGATCCATACATCTATGATGTCTACTAGACTTTAGAAGAAATGTGAATATGCACAAAAGTTAACTAAAATATCATAAATTACAGTTAATTCTCTATTTTTTCCTTCCCGAGTATTTTATCCAAAACCCCTATTGAGTAGCTGAATAGTAAATATTTTATATTATGACAATATATATTGCTTATGTTGGGTGCAGAGTGTACATATCATGTAGGTATCATGTGAATGTTGACATTAAAAAATGTAGGGTTTTCTTAGGGGGGGATTGAGACATGATTTCTCTTTGTAACAGCCCTGGCTGTCCAGGAACTAGCTAGGCTGGCCTCGAACTCAAAGAGATTCACCTGCCTCTGCCTCCCAAGTGCTGGGATTAAAAACATGTGCCACCACTGCCTGGCAAACATTTATTTTTAAATTGTGAACATTTTCCAGGGTGGCACACATGCAACTAGACTCTGTCAGCTCCTGCCAAGTGACTCAACTGAGGACAATTGTGGACCATTGCAGCCCATGCATGACTGACTCAGTCTCCACAAGAATAGATCAGCACAGAGGGGGAGGAGGGATTGTAGGAGCCAGAGGGGTGAAGGTCACTGTGAGACAACAGCAAGCAGAATCAAGTAAGCAGCTTTCATGGGAGATCACAGAGACTGAAGTGACAATTGCAGAGCCTGCATGTGTCTGCATTTGTAGACCTCTGTATATATGTTATGGTTGTGTAGACTGGTGACTGTGTGGGACTACAGAACGTGGAAATGGGGATGTCTCTGAAAATTTTGCCTTCTCATGGGACACTTATACTCCTACTAGATTGACTTATTCAGCCTTAATATGGGGGCGTGTGCATTGTATCCATTAGGAGTGGACTCTTAATCTCTTAATGGACTCAGATTAAGAGTCCATTTGTTTTGGTTTTCCCCAGTGGTTTCCATCTGTGGCAGGAAAATTTTCCTAGATGCGGGATGAGAACTGCACTTATCTGTGTTTATTAGGACAAGTATTTATAGAATGAGAGTTTAGTAAAGTAATGATTGTAGGTGTTCCTAATAATATCAGAACATATTTTCTCCCTAACATGACTACCCAGTCATGCACTCAATAAGAACAACACCAATGGACACACCAAATTGGCACATAGAAAAGTGCATGGGGCCTCATCCCTATGCAAGGGCTGTAGACATCAGAGAAAAGCTGGGAAAGAGAGAAGTGGTTTTCCACAGAGAAAGCACAGGAATTTATTGTCCAGTGGCAAATGGTCAGCCCATGAAACATAGCTACAAGGAACTATATACGGACTAAGCCAGTCATATTTAAAAAGGGGAAAAAAGGCCACTAATTTGAAGGAAAGCAGGGAGGGCTACATGGGAGGATTTGAAGGGAGAAAAGTTAAAGTTATATATCTTAAATATAATTTAAAAAGTAGTTACCCCAAAGAGAAAAAAAAATATTGCTACACAACTTTTAGTACTTTTGATACAAATGTTTTTCTCTTCTCATCAAAGATACATTAACAGTTTTGTTTGTGTTTGTTTTCCATTTCTGACACTGACACAAGGAATGAATTCTAATTAAATTCTAGAGCAACAATAAGACGTTTCAGCCCACTTTGCTGCTTCCGTTTCATAAATCACATGTTGTATTTTACCATACTCCCTTCCTATTTACTTATATTCATTATAATATCCCTCAAATGGAATGCCTTAGGGGAGATATTAACCTTTTGAGAATTTCTTCTTCCCTTGAGAAACAAGAACAACTTTTAATAGTATGCATATTACATCATTTGCATCAGAGATTAACTCTAGGAAATATATTCCCTTTGAACCAAAGCATATAAATACACGAATCAGTCACCTGCATGTTATGATTATCTCACATGTATTTTCATATATGCTTTTGACTTTCCTTTATGTAAGCATAAGTTTGAATTTCAACCCTGCTGTCTATGGTACAGTCTTTGAATTTACACAACATTTCAAAAGTAAGACACTTGGACTGTTCTGATTTTGTTTGGTAACATTATAGAGAATGACAACTATATACATGGTGGTCACTATATCTCTTAGAGGCTGATGCTGAATATCTTTTCTTTCCATGAATAAGATAAATTTGTTTATTTTATCCTTCCATTCACACATTGTTCAAATCAGTTACTTTTTCATGAGCAAGTATATTTTTCATTTTTGAAATTACTGCATTTACATCATTTCTCCCTTAGCTTTGCCCCCTCTGAACCTTCCTATATAACCTTCTTTCAAAAGGATTTAAGCTTGATAGATTCATCAAGTTGCAGAAATGGGGATAGCTTGTGCTTAATGATCAGTTTATGCCTCTTAGCCTATATTTCAATTTCTTCTTATACATGTAAGTACAACTTCAAAAACCAATGTGTTAGTTCAAAAGGATATTCTTTCTCAAGAAATAGTTGTAATCTAAATAATCAGTGTTTATATCTATTATTCAATTGTTGCTATAAATAACCTAAATGTAATATTTCTGTCTTCTTGTTGCCATATAAATCATCTAACATTAGGTTTCTTTTCCTAAGTTTTACAGACTGTATAAAGGGATCCCAGAAGTAAAGGATATTCAATCTAACAATAAAATCAATTAATTTATCAGTTAGAAATTACACTGCCACTAATATGTTTAAAATATGTATTCACATTCTACCTGGTTAATATAGAACAAGAGGCAATTAATTAAGTGGGTCCTTCATGGAAAATCCTTCGCTCTCCTGGAAAAGTTGGAAGAGGAAATGTCTACCAACAGAAAGATATTTATAATTAAGTAGATACCATTTACTCTAAAATCTGCATTGAAGAATGAATGCAAAGATATTATGTGTTTGTTTTACAGGTTTGTTTTATTTTATGTGATTATATTTTTTTAAAACAATACAGATTAGACATAATATTCCTAAGATTAAACAAATTATTTTTATCAAATGTTAAATGCTAATTATGTGTTAATTTGGATGATTCTTTGCTGTTGAAGGTCAAAGCATCCTTTGATACTGTTCACAGGATGGGAAGGTCTCAGAACTCAATGCCTCTGATTATCCTCTAAGAACCAGTTTGGGGGTGTTCTCTTCTAATTGTCTGCTTTCTATCACACTTGGAAGACAAAAACAATGTGTCTCATTCGTTAAGCACTTGCCTATCATGAATGAGGTCTTGTATACAATTCCCACACCATTGGATAGACATGTAGAATGGTAACTAATTTTGACATTTGTGGGATATATCTAAAATACTATGCTATTGTTTATTATTTATGTATGTTCTGCATATTACAACTAGTGTCATTAGCAATTGCTACTTTGTTGAGTTACATCCCCAATAAATAGTTTTATTTCTTAAAAGAAACAATATTTGATATATTAGGTTTCTTGATATTCTAAATTACATGTTATTATAGTAAAACTAAGTAGAATTAAGGACAATTTGAGTGAAAATACCTGTTAAATTTTTGAATTTAATACTTAGAGGTTAATAAATAAGGATTTACCTGTTGCAACCAAGAAGTTAAATTTTGTTTCCTGTGCACCTACAAAATTCCATTTAAATGGATCGCTCAGCTATTAATCTAACAATTTTTTTTAATCTATGAAAACAATTGAGTAGAAGAGGCAAATACTGTGTTTTAGGCAATTATAGATGCCTTAGTTAAACACTTCTATGTTTCTCAACAGGATAACCAGAGAGAGAATTCTCCAGTACAGATAACATATCTAGATTGGAATTCCTAAGATATTTATGTTCTACTATTACTGCCAATTTATCCAAATCTCTTGTTATTGATAGACACCAGGGCTCAAAATACATGGCAGATGTCAATTTCACATTTGTTACTGAGTTTATCCTTATGGGACTAACATATCATGAAGAACTCAAAGTGGTTCTCTTCATCTTGTTCCTATTGATCTATGTCATCTCCTTGGTGGGGAATTTAGGAATGTTCTTTCTGATCTACATAACTCCTAAACTCCACACACCAATGTACCACTTCCTTAGGTCTCTATCATTTGTGGATGCATGGTATTCCTCAGTATTTGCACCCATAATGCTGATGAACTTCTTTGTTGAGAAAGAGACTATCTCATTATCTGCATGCATTGTACAATATTTTTTGTTTGCACTGTTGGTTACCACAGAAGGATTTTTGCTGGCTGCAATGGCTTATGACCGTTATGTGGCCATTGTAAACCCTTTAATTTATACAGTGGCCATGACTAAAATGGTTTGTGTTGGGCTGGTGCTTGCTTCATTCCTAGGAGGTCTAATCAACTCATTGACACATACAATTGGATTAATGAAGCTGTCCTTTTGTGGTCCAAATGTCATCAACCACTTCTTCTGTGACCTTCCTCCCTTGTTGAAGCTGTCCTGTTCTGATGCCTCAATGAATGAATTCTTGCTTTTGATCTTCTCTGGAGTCATTGCCATGACTACACTCTTAATTGTGCTAGTCTCCTACTTCTTCATTGTTGTTGCTATCCTGAGGATCCGCTCAGCAGCTGGGAGACACAAGGCTTTCTCCACCTGTGCTTCACATCTGACAGCTGTGACTTTATTATATGGCTCAGTAAGCTTCAGTTATATTCAGCCAAGCTCTCAATACTCCTTAGAACAAGAGAAGGTTGTATCTGTATTTTACACCCTGGTGGTCCCCATGTTAAATCCACTGATTTATAGCTTAAGGAACAAAGAAGTCAAAGATGCTGTGAAAAGGGCCATGCAGATGAAATGCTTCCCTTGTTGATTTCAGGATGTTTGATAAGAAAAAGGCATGAAAACATTGAATTGTTTGAAAAATTTACAAAGACATATTGCATTTTATTTCATTAAATCAGCAGGGATTATTGAGTCCTGTATTTTACAATGATGCAAAGGAGTATATTCTATAAACATTCATAGACTTCAGTAAACTGAGCATAAAATAAAATATAGAAAGAGAAACTACTCAAAAGTAAAAGCTGCTTTTTTCGCAGTTTATCAATACATGTAAGTAATACAAAAATAATGGTACCCACTGATTCTACACAATATGTAGGTTTGCATTTACTATTCCTTTCTATAATGAAGCTTTCCTTAAGGGTAGATTTAATATCATCCTATTTACAGGAATTTTTACATTTAATCAGAAAAAAAGAAAAGCTTAGTAATATTGTTTTCCAACAGAATCAATCCTATGTTTAATTTTGAATTTTTCAATGATAGAAAATTTTAATACAGTAAATGTGGAAAAGGAGTTAATGTAATTATGTAATGCTTCTTTCTTTTCTTTTCTTCGCCCCCTCTCCTGTTCTTTTAAGCCATTAAGTCTAACAGTGCCATGAATTTTCAGTCATGTGGCACCTCTTCCTTCCCTCCATATGCCTTCAGAACTCAGCTTGCACAGTTCATTCTTATGTTATTTCTTTAAACGCAGCATTCTTTTTCTACTTCTACTTCTGCTCAAATTATCAGTGTCACTCTACTAGCCAAGACCTCACTGGGCTCCATATGGCCTTCCTTCTTTCTCAGAATCAGTAGGACTTTCTTCATCCATATTTAACAGTTCAATGGCTTACTTACATTTTATTTATTGTGAACATGGTCTGGTAGAAATGTACATATATGATAAATGAGTGATTCATTCCTTCATATCCCCTAGCTGAGACATATGAGCACAGTCAGGGTGAATTGTTTTTAAAGCAAGCACATGGGGGGTATGGATATGTCATTCAAGAAGAATGATCACTTCTAATACACTGTATAGAAATTTGTAGATTTGATAACAGTCTTTTGGAGAATAGTAAAATGCAGTAATGAAATTCTGGTTTTACCATATATTCATCTTTAGTTCTTCTTTGATGGTAGGGCCATGAGATGAAAGTACATTAGTCATCAAATAATATTGTCACTACTCTAAATCTATGAGTTATTTTTCCAGCCCCAAACAACATTTTTTAATGATTTGGCAAGATAGTAATTGAAAAGAAAAGAATGAAATATAATTCTAGGATATTTTTATTAAACTAATCAATACATGGTGATAAGAAACAAATTTTATACAAAATATTTTCATAAATTCTTGAAATGTTTGTTATTTGAGAAATAAAAAAGAAGCAATTTCAAAATTAAATTGCATGTACATTTTCTGTATCTGTGGCCATGAAATCTTATTTCTAACACTGTGAGGTTAAAAAATTTTTACTTCAGAAAAAAGGAATTTTTATATGTATACAATATTGGTCCATGGACAATAAACTTCATTAAGCCTCTTGTTATTGCTTTTTCTTGTTCACTATAATTAGGTAGAAAGACCCCTGCTGCTGAAGACACCAAATATTTGCTTATAAGATATTTAGAAATCAATCTCAAACTGATCAGGAAAGTTTCTCCATGCAGCCTGGCTTTCATAGTATAGAATTTTCTATGCACACTGCTGGGGAAGAGAAGATATCAATGATTTATCCAGAAGCTGACTCTGTATGCTACATATCTAACCCACCATGAAAGATGTGCCCACTGTTACAAAAGTGGTAAGATTCTTTAAAGTATAAATAACCCATGTCTGTACAAATCAGATGCCTGGTTCATAGAAGACCTATACTATGAAGTGGAAAAAAAAAAAAAAACAAACAAACATAGCTTGGAAGGCCATGGCCTGAAAGAAGAATATACTGTTTTTGTTTTTCTCAATGATAATATTGTTAAGCTGCATTATATATACACTTCTGTTGGCAGAAACAGATATCTGTTGTTCTCAATCTTGGTCAAAAATGCTTCTTCTTACAGTAAGTAGCAGTGAATGCAGAGATTAATAACTTATCAAAGTTCTGAGATTAAGCAACTAGGACTGATAATCCATACATGGAACATCTTCATCAATGTGTCTTTCAAATCAAAACATTCAGAAACCATCATTAATCAGAATCAGAAATAACATTGAGAAACTGGAGATGACAAAGATAGCTGTGAAATACTATTGTCTGCACATTACAGGCCTGGTACACACATGATTTTATAGCAGCCATGATTAACTTTAGAAGATTTGCACTAGCACAAGCCAATTAATTTCCCACTATGGATGGCTGAGGAGACCCTTAGGCTCCCTCCTAGATTAGCAGCTATTGGCAGTTATTCTGAGGGAATGAGAATCATTTCTTTAGGGGGTAGTGCTTCTGTATGTATTCCTGATTGTCCTTGAACTAAGAAACTAACAGGCTAGCCTTGAATTCATTGGGAAACATGAGTTTATTTCTCTCAGTTCTAGGGTTAAAGAAAGCAACACTGAAACTCCATATATTATTCTGTGGAGTAGAATAGGAAGGAATTCTTCAAACTATTTTGATTTAGCCAGGAAATGATAGACCAATCTACCTGATTCACATAGACACAACTATTCTCAACAAGCTATCAATTAAATTTGAGAATGCATCAAAAAGATTCTCCATCATGATCAAGTTTGTTTCATCTAGAGATGCAATGATGGCTCAACATATGTTAATCAATAAAGGTAACCTATCACACATAAATAGACTCTAGATCAGAAATCAAATGACTATCTTCTTATGTGCAGAAAATACCTTTAACAAAACAAAACTATCCATTTGTCATGGAACTTTGATATTCTTAAGATATAGGGAAGCATATCTCTATCCATTAAAAGTAACATTCAAAAATATCATGTTAAGAAGAGAATAAAACCAAAGTATGGCAGTGCATGCCATTAAGACCAGGACTCAGGTGGCAGTGGCAGGCAGATCTCTGAGTTCAAGTCTAGCTTGGTCTATAAAGTGAGTTCGAGGACAGCCAGGAATAGACAAAATAACCATGTCTCAAGGGAAAAATCCAAACAAATTAACAAAAATAGATAAACTATCATGAAAAAGATAAGATACCGATTCTTTCCTGTTGAACATACTACTCTACATTTTAATCTATAACAATAGGAGAAAATAAAATAATTATCCTTATTTGTAGATGACATGTTGTTTTACACAAAAGCCTCTAAACTCTCCACTAGAAAATTCCATTATTTATTTATTTATTTTCTCAAATATGTATTTATTCATTTCTCATGTATTACATCCTAGCCAATTTACCATTCTCAGCCTTCCCAGAATAGAGCTTTGTTTTGAGATGAGTTAAGTATTTGAAATTTGGCCCAGGTACTCTACCAAAGTTACTATGTCCATTTAAGTATATACATTTCAAAGCAATAAAATTAGATAAAAGACCTGATTTGTATGTCTTGAGTGTAATAATTTTGATGTGTTTTTGTTTGTTTGCTTATTAAAATTTTGGTTGCTTGTTTATTTTTTATTTTTTTCTTTTGAGACAGTATTTTTTGTTTTTGTTTTTGTTTTTGTTTTTGTTTTTGTTTTTGTTTTTGTTTTTGTATAGCTCTTGCTGTCCTAAAACTAACATTGTGGAAGAGGCTGGCTGACCTCAAATTCACAAACATCTGCCTGCCTCTGCCTCCTGAGTCCTGGGACTAAAGGCATGTGCCACCTCCCGGAGACTATTTTGATGTTCTTATCAATAAAAAAGCCTAATATGAAGACAATTGTAAAGTTTTGGGAAATTATTTACCTTCAATATACTACTTACTAAAGAGAACATATAACATTGTTCTGATAAATGTAACTTCATTTTTAGCATTTATGTTATGATTAAATTACATTTCATAAAACTCAGAACACCATGCATATCTCTCTTAGGTTCCTCCCTGTCTCCTATCTTTGCTTGTGGTGGGGACTGTAGGCTGTTAATCCTTTGCTCTATGTTTAAAATCATATATGAGTGAGTACATACCATGTTTGTCTTTTTGTAACCGGGTTACCTCACTCAGGATGGTTCTAGTTCTGTTAACCTGCCTGTGAATTTCAAGATTCCACTGTTGTTTTTCCACTGAGTAGTACTCCATTGTGTAAATGTACCAACATTTTCTCCATCCATTCTTCAGTTGAGAGGAATCTAGGTTGCTTCCAGTTTCTGGCTATTATAAATAATGCTGCTATGAACACGGTTGGACAGATGTTCTTGTTGTGTGTATGGGCATCTTTTGGGTATATGTCTAATAGTGGAAGTGCTAGATCTTGCAGTGTTGATTCCCATTTCCCTGAGCAACCTACCTCAGACAAGGGGAAAGGGACAAAATCTCCTGAACTAACTGGGAGAATAGGGGGAGGAGAGAAGGAGTTAAGAGAAGAGAAGAGAAGAGAAGAGAAGAGAAGAGAAGAGAAGAGAAGAGACGAGGAGAGGAGAGGAGAGGAGAGGAGAGGAGAGGAGAGGAGAGGAGGGGAGAGAAGGGGAGAGAAGGGGAGAGAAGGGGAGAGGAGGACATGAGAGAGCAAGAAGATAAGATCAAGTTAGGGGAAGAATAGAGGAGAGAAAGAAAAGAGATACCCTAATAGAGGGAGCCATTATATGTTTAAAGAGAAATCTGGCACTAGGGAAATGTCCAGAGATCTAGAAGGTTGACCCCAACTATCAATCTAAGAAATAGTTGAGAGGCTACCTTAAATGTCCTTCTCCGATAATGAGATTGATGACTACCTTATATGCCATCCAAGAGCCTTCATACAATAGCTGACAGAAGCAGAAGCAGATACCACAGCTAAACACTGAGCTGAACTCTGGAATCCAGTTTCAGTGAGGGAGGAGTGATGAGCAAAGGGGTCAAGACTAGGTTGGATAATTCCACAGAGACAGCTGACCTGAACAAGGGAAATCTCATGGACCCCAGACTAATGCCTGGAAAGCAGCATA